GATGGTAGACGCGAGTTCCAATTTAGACGGTTAGGAACCGGCCACTTTTCTCTTTTCGGTTGCTCATCTTTGGTCTTTCCCACTGAGAGAGCTAATCTCGCTTTGAGATTTTGACTTGGAAAGACTTTTAGTGGAGCTAGGTTTTGAGAGAGGGACTAAACCATTTGCATGATCATTGGCAGCATCCGATGATAGGAGATTGTCAATTGCAGGACTGTCCGTTGAAATATCGTGTTTGATTTGCATGGCAGTCACTGCGTCAGCTACCGCTTCCGCCTTGCAGTCCTCATAATCATGGGCCATGATCGAAGATTGGACCACAAGGGGGAAATCGCTTGAGTTTACAGTATTTAAAATGTCGAAATTGCGTTAGTAGTGAATATTCAAAAATTTAATGAATACCAGAGAGAAGCTGCGATTAATTACCCCTTAGACGTTGAAGTTGCTGTCAAACCGGGGGTGGTGAAGAGGTGAGTTCGGTTGCTGAAGCGGCCAAGGTGCTGCTGGTTGTTTCGACGGATGATGGATTGATAGATAAACACCCGGTGGATGACCAACCTGGTGAAGTGAAAGGATACCGGGCCCTGACATAGGACAGACCCAGCCGCTGCACCGTCTGCGCTGTTTAGCTGATGGCAAGACGTGGTGCAGGCCAGCGCTCCCGGTCGGTGCGAGAAGGAGGAAGGTGAGGAAGTGCAGGTGGAGAGTGCGGTGTGGAAGAAATCGAGGCGGTGCGTGGACAGATGCGGTCACGATGGTGGCCGGTAAACTTAGTCGGCGTTGGGAAAATATAACGCTGGAGCACAGGATCACGGCAAATCCCCAAGCATAAAGCTCAGACCAGCAAGTGTCGAAGGCCTGGAGAATCACTTAGACGAGGAAAAGGCAGATCTGGACCGCAAAGCAAACTGCGGATGGGAGGAGCAGCAAAGATGCTCTCGCAACTGTCTCCTTTTGCCAACCAATATGAACAGGATTGAATGCCTTCTGGCGAGAATTTGAATGTTTTGTGTCCTTTCTTTTCTACGTGCCCTTGAGTCAACAATGCCAATATCGGTTGCAAACACAGCAGCAAGGAGGAATAATCTACTCCAGACACGTATGTGCAAGCGTTGCTTCTCATTGAACCTGCGAGCCTTAAATATGATAGGTTATTCCCCGGATAAAACAAAAGAAAGCAGGTGGGCAGTTAACAAAAAACCGCGAATGCCATTATAAATCTATCGTGTTCTATCTGGCTTGGGCTCCCCACGGGATTTCGTAGTGATGGGAGAAATGACAGGAGGTGCAAAACATAAGATGATTGTGTCGTGATTGACAAATGAGGAGGGTGCAATATCTTTGAGGTGTGGGGCGTGGAATAAAAAATGCAGTGTGTGGAATTATCAGTAGCCGCCCAAAAAAAAAAATCTCAACAACGGCTTCTTCCCTCCCACCAAAAATGTGGCCGGTTTGCCTCCGTAAGAAGTCGATATCGGCACTTAGAAAAAATAAAAGAACTGCCCTTCGCCGTCACCACACGAAATATTGTCACTTTCAATAGGCCAATAACAAATCACTGTAAATTTTTTTCCTTTTTTCTCCACCAGGTGGTTTTCATTGGGCCATCTGGAGGATATCATTCAGAGTAGAAATAAAGGTGGATTAGTCAAAACAGTGTTATCGCTCGGGAATCATATTCCTTCGGCGGAGGTTAATTCTTCATTGTTATCGCCGAGGGACCTCCCCGCAAGGTGTGGTGTACGGTACAGGCTTCCCCCGGCCGGAATAATATCAGGGTTTCCATTCCCAAGCGAGGCTAGGACTAAGTCTCATTGTCAAGCAGCAACCATTAATAATGATTCAAAAAGAAAAGCCGGGACATAAATGTCTACAGAAAAGCAGACAGAGATCGGAAAAATATCCTCATAGTTGTTTCCCGTGGTAATCGACCCATGGAGTAACCAGCGGGAGAAAACTGTGGTGACCCATGGTATGAGAGGTCGAAAGGAAAACTCCACAGGGCCCAGGAATAAAACGCCAAAACATCGGGAGGCGATTATCGTAACATGGTTAACTACAAGCGGGCATCAACTCATCTCAACATGAAATGGGTGACATGTCTCTCGCTTCATGATTTGATTTGCGAAGTTCATAAATCCCACAAGGAAATAAACGTTGTTGCGTCTACCACCAGGCCTTCTAGTGCCTCTGAATCGGGGACGCTTGGAGTTGCCAGCAGGATATTTGAATAAATCATTAGAGCCAACGTGGCCGTGCGTCCCACCGTCAGCGCGAGATGGGTAATTCCCAAGGTGTCACCGCAGTCTCAGCTAGAGAAAAATAAATAATATCTATCGTGGTTTGCCGGCCGAGTAGTCAGTATATTTTTAGCCTATATAAACCATTTTTTGAATTTCGTGTTGTGTGGTTGTTCTTGAAAAATATCTTCTTGATGGCTGGCTACCTGGTGACGTCTGGCATTGCGTACACCACGCTGAACCCCGCCAACGTCAAAATACGGAGAGATAGGTTTCAGGTCTGCGTCGAAAGCTGTTGAATGAATCAAGGCATAAATAACTGGGAAAAGTTAAAAAATTTCAAACGCGAATCTTAGCAAAAGTATGCTGTGTTTCCTTCGAAGATAAAATGCTGGCCATTTCGCTGATGGATTAAAAAATAAACTTCTTGCAGTATTTTGAAACACGCGATACCTTATTTGAGTACGCCATGGATAAGCGTGAGAGGTGGCTGGAATTGCTCATCCTACCACTTATTTGCTGAGCTCTGGCCGAGCTATTGCCAAACTTGCAAAGAACGGGCTTGGAGCTTGAGGGTGATGAAGGTGTTGACGGGCTGCGGGAGGAGCCCGCGATCGACGTTGCTAAAAAGCCAACCGCAGGGGATAACTGGTTTCCAGAGCATGGCAAAGAAATCGTGGAGGGAACCACGAACAGGGCTGATTCATGAAGAAATTCTGGGGGTTCTCCCTCACCGGGTTGAGCTCCGATGATGGGTGGCTCCCGTTGGCGTCGGCTCGCTGAACTACCGTTGTCAAGAAGCCTCAAACCCTGGAATTATTGCCTTTGGGTCTTATATTCTGGGGCGTAAGAAGCGAAGACGCACATATTGCATGACTCGCGTTCATCTCCAATGCCAATGACTTCTTGTTGAAGCTCAGTGAAACGGGCATGAAAACCTCGCTGTCTGAAGTTCAAGAGAGCCTA